CCCGCCCCCCACTGTTATTCCCTGAAAGCTAAAGTGTGGAGTCAGAGATTTAAAAAAACATGGTTAAAAAAAAAAAAAAGTCAAAAAAGATCCAGAAGATCTTTCCCAGGATATCTAAAGGTACAGTTCAGTTTGATAAACTTTTTTAAATGAATAAAAAACAAAGACAGTCATCTGACCTTCGACAGTTGTTTGTTTGTTTTATTTCAGTTGATAATCTCAATATTATTAACAGAGATAACAACAGTGTTGTTTCTCAGTTGCTGTCCGTCAACAGTTCCTGGTCTTCAAACAGTTTCTGGTTTTCTTCATGTGCTCCCGTGTTTCCTTGTTGGTCCTTTTCCTCCTCCACCTCCTCCACCTCCACCTTCACTCCTTCAGCCAGCTGAGCAGCTGGGGGGTGTAGTAGGTGATGATGATGTCAGCGCCTGAGTCATTGACAGTTCAACGGTTTTCATGAGTGTCAGAGAAAAAAAAGAAGCACAACTTAGCACAACACTTCTGGGAACTTTTTAGGGACATTTTAGCCTTTGTCCCCCCCGTCATGCAAATTGAACATTTTGTCCCACTTTTTCATTCGACGTTACTTAACTGAAAATAAACTATTTTATGTGGCTGGCTGTCTATGGGCACACCTATCAGTGCAGTTCATAGCAGTGATAGGCCACCTAGTGGATAAGGTGGTAGCTTGACAGTCTGAGTGACGTGTCAATCAAATACACACATCATATCAGTCAAAGTGTCGGCTTTAAATGATTGCGGCCGTCCCTCGTTGTCCCACTCAAACCTGCTACTTGTCCCGCATTTTGTCAGTTTGGAGGTGGTCACCCGAACAATGACCCGAACGAGGAACAGTTTTACTCAGTTCTCACCACAGATGGCAGTAGAGACACAGGCGCAGCGTGTGAAAGCAAGGACCGTAAAAATCCTGGTACTTGAAAGTTCAGTCTGGTCCCATTTTCTGTGATGAACTCACCCACCTCCCCTCTTCTCCTCACCTGCACGGCGGAAGGCAGTCATGGCCTCCATCACCGCAGCCTTCAGGTCGAAGGATCCAGCCTGCGCTCCGTGCCACATCATGGCGAACTCTCCTGACACGTTGTACACAGCCAGCGGGTGGTTGGGAAACTGAGGGGGAAAACGGAAGAGGGAAGAATTCTCGTGTCAGCCGCAGCCTGGTAGCTGTGAATAGTTCTGACCTGTCCTCACGCTGACCTTGTCCTTGACCTCTCTGACAATGTCCAGATAAGGGAGCCCAGGTTTGACCATCAGCATGTCTGCCCCCTCTCTCACGTCTCGCTCCTGTAGCACAAAGCAGCTGTTCAGACTTAGGCACTAATCCAGGACCAGTCCAGAATAGACTTGGACCAAGAGTGAGGAAACCACACAAATCTTCCAGAGTTTCATCATCCACGGTCATACGGGGCTGTGAAACTGAAGAGCTGCTTCACATCAAACTAAAATGACAACAACAACAAAGTAAGAACCTCATGTTTACATCAGACTCCTTTGACTATCGGTCATCTGGATGTAGCTCAGCGGGTGGTGCAGTTTCCTAACACGTACAAGGTCGTAGGTTCCAAAGTGCAATGACATGTCAACAGCTCGGCAGATTCAGGTCAATGACTTTGTAGCTCCAGTGTCCATCAATCTGGATGGAATTTTCTGGTGTTTTTTTTTTTAACTAAAAGAAACAACAAAAAAAACAGAGAATTCAGACTCACCACAGCTCGGTTTGCCAGTCCTCTGGCACCAGGGGGCAGCTGATAGCAGCGTCTGTCTCCGAACGCAGGTTTGGACTGAGCAGCATCTCTGCACACATACACACAGCAGGAGGACAGAAAGAGAGGACGACAAGGGGACAAGAAGAAGAGGACAAGAACAGAGCAGCACAGAAGGAGACTTGAGTAACTTCTGTAAAATCTGATCTGTTCACATGGAACGTGAGAGAATGTTCTCACCTAAACGGACCGTAATAACAGGAGGCAAACTTGGCGCTGTAACTCAGCACTGACACCTTAAGGACAAAACACGTAATGAAACTTATGAAATATATTTGGACTAGATCTGCTCCAAACGTATCTTCCCAAAAAAAAAAAAAAAGTCTCACCTTGTTTCCTAGACCGTTGGAGATCAGAGCTTGTTTTATAGCCCGAATTCTTCCATCCATCATGTCTGACGGCGCGATGATGTGACAGCCTGCAGACAACAGCAGGATGGACACAGTTATCAGACACTGACTATTAAAGAGGTCGGCATTNTGCTTTTTGACTTGTTTTGCAATCTTGTCTGTTTATTAGTGACTTTTTGTTACAACTAAACAACTCCATTAGCCCATGGACAGACGTTACATATTTACATTTGTGAGATAAGAGCAGTATAAAAATGAGAATTACCTGCTCGGGCGTATGCTAGCGCCACCTCTGCTAAGCGCAGGCAGCTGGCATCATTGTTCAGAGTTCCATCATCGTTGAGAATACCTACCAATGAAAACATGATGAAACCTTTCTGGGTTCATACTGTTCAAATGTTAAAACACAAACATTTTTTATGACTTTTTTTTGTTTGTTTTTCAATTCTTTTCATTATTTGGTTTGAACAGACACTGACCACAGTGACCATGTGATGTGTACGGACACAGGCAAAGGTCACAGGCCACCAGTAGCTGTGGGAACAAAGATCGGATTTTCTTCACCGCCAGAACCGCCGGCGTGTCGTCAGTGTCGGCACCAGAACCTCTGTCGTCCTGTTGAAAGTTCAAGAGGACACCGAGAGTTTTTATAAGACTCTGAACAAAGTAATGACCAGGATGATGAGAGTGTTAATGAACATCGTCTTTATGTCTGAACGATCAGCGTCACCTTTGAAATCTTTGCAGGGACGCCAAAAATCAGCACACACTTCAGCCCGTTCCCAACCAAAGGTGTCAAGAAGTCCTCCAGTCGGTTGATTCCATATCTAGATGAAGGCATAAAAATGCAAACATGAGGAAAAATCTAAAAAAAAAAAAAAAAAAAAAAGGAAAAAAAAAAAAAAAAAAAAAGGAAAAAAATAAAAAAAAAAAAAAAAAAAAAAAGGAAAAAAAAAAAAAAAAAAAAAAGGAAAAAAAAAAAAAAAAAAAAAGGAAAAAAAAAAAAAAAAAAAAAGGAAAAAAAAAAAAAAAAAAAAAGGAAAAAAAAAAAAAAAAAAAAAGGAAAAAAATAAAAAAAAAAAAAAAAAAAAAGGAAAAAAAAAAAAAAAAAAAAAGGAAAAAAAAAAAAAAAAAAAAAGGAAAAAAAAAAAAAAAAAAAAAGGAAAAAAAAAAAAAAAAAAAAAGAAGCAAATACAGCAAAGATGGTTCTCATGATTTTGTTTTGTTTAAATTTTTTTAAAAAAGATGATTGGTTCCAAAAATGAATTCAATCGTTCATTAAATTATAGGGTCCCCAGGATAAGTGGCTCACTTTTTTTACCTGAGAATTTATTGCACAAAATAAGTCCAAGAAACGGGCCACTGTTTGAATAGGCCTACACTGGGAGTTTGAATTTAGTAAGAGTTAACTGACACTCTTCTTATCTGGGCTCTGGTTTCACCCAGCCCACATGATTTTATCTAAAGACAACACCCTCAATGGCTCTCCGCTGAGGCTTTGCCTTTTGCCTCTTATTGTTGCCTTTGTTGTAAAAAATATGGAGTCAGTAGTTGTGATCACTCTCACCTGGCCTGACCCGGCAGACTGTTAATGGGCTCCACTGCGTCCTCACTGTCTCTGCAGGAGAGTGTTACAGATTTGAAATGGGCGGAGGTTAGTTTTTACACCAACAGAACAGCTAACCACTACATTTGACGGACATTTAGAAAACAGATTATTCTTGTTTACGTTATGAAGATGGGGTAGATGAGGTTGTCTGGTCGGAGGTCTGCAGCACAGCTCTGCCAGTGTCGCAGTGTTGGGTGGAAATATCCACTGTGGATGATGGACTCTGCCGGCGTCTGCATGGTTGGACTGAGAAGAACAGAGACAATCAGAGGGCAAACACGGGGGCCAGAGAATGAGTGAAGCACAGGGCGGATTCTCTCTCCGTGTCTTCTTCAGACAGAGAACAGAGTTCAGTCAGTGTTATAATTGACCAAACACGCATGAAACTGTTCCTCCAATCAAAATGGAGGTCAAACAAAAACAAAACAAAAAACCATCTACCAATCATCAAACGTTTACTCAAACACTGTACAAATAACTGAAATGTAAAAAATAATGAAAACAATAACGATACCAATAATAAGAATTATTATTTTATAATGTCTTGAAAGACCAAACTTTGAAACTAACATATGAAAAACTAATAATAAGAATTATTATTTTATAATGTTTTGAAAGACCAAACTTTGAAAACATAAATAACCTAAATCAAATAGACACATGCCAGCATTTCATATAATGCTATGTTAATGCTGTGTTTATGTTACTATAAATACATCCATGCACCCAACAACATCCATGACTTTTATTTTATTAAATACTAACTCTGTCGTGATATTTCTGACAGGTTGGAACACTTCTCTTCTCTAACCTGTGACAGTGTAGTAATGGTGTACTCCCTGTTCTACACTCATTTTACTACGTTTTCAATGAAGACACCCCCACTAGGCTATAATTTCGTCTAAGTGTAATAAGTGTGAAATGAGCCTTTTGAACTCGTAACAACAAAGAGTAGCAGACTCTCGAAGCTGAAAAAAGTGAAATTAAATATTCTGTTATAAAGAGTGAACTTACCAGCGGAGTGAGTAGAACTGCGTCTGGGAACCTTCACACTCGTTCCTCTACTTTCAAATCGATAGATAAAGGTGACATGAAGGTATGCTGCTGCCATCTATTGACCGGAGTCCTGAACCGCGTAAATGAACTAGAACGAACCGAATTACGACATTAATATTATCTGCTCTTTATATAACGTTCAATATAAAAAACTACGTTATAAATCGTTAGCTGATGTTTCAAAAATAATAAATAACTGAAGATAACAGAAACATTGTGTCTTGCTGTATACCGTATGTTTCCGTCCCCGTCTTCTCGCGAGACTAAAATGAACAAACTCCAGCAGCTAGGATGCTAAGAGCTTGTTAGCCACATTTTGCGGCTCTTTGCTGCATGTATCCATGTAGAGGGACGTATTTAAATCAGTGCGAGGTAAGATAGTACGTTTTAGCACTTGATTTGAGGCGTTCACACAAATGCTACATATTTTATGCTACAAATCAAGATTGATATACTGGTGCCTGACCGCTATTAGCATGCTAGCGGCAGCTTCGGTGGCACCAGTGTATCGATACTTAAATAAAATTGTAGTTAATTAGCCACGTCTACATTCTTTAACTAAACCACAGGTTAAGCTGACTAAATATGAAATGGATGCTAAGACGTCCTCATTAGGCAATTCACTGTCTATTTCTATATAAACTAACTAAATATTAAGTGTGAAATAAATGAGAAAAATAAGTAGGATTAAGTCAGGAATTGTACTAAATCACATGAACCATTTGTCCTTGGAAAATTTATGTTGTTTAATAGTATGTCAACACTGTTGCTGCAGAATCTTCAATCAGATGGAAGTCAGAGGAACCTCTGTGGTCAACTCTTCTCTAGATCTCTGTGAAGATGTAACCAGAAGAGAAGTTCACAGAGTATCACCGTTTGTGCCCAGACATCAGCAGTGACTCGTCACCACCACCATAACTCTGGAGCACTTTAGACCTCACTCAGGGCTGTCCAATTCATCCCCAGTCAGTAGGTCCTAGTGGTCTGTCCCTGGCTCCCACAGCCATGTTGTTTTCCCTGAGAGAACTTGTCCAGTGGCTGGGCTTTGCCACCTTTGAACTCTTCCTCCATCTATTGGCCCTGCTCGTCTTCAGTATGCTAGTAGCCTTGCGGGCTGACATGCTGACGCCATCACTGAGCTGGTGGCACGTCTTTGTCCCTCTGTTTGCCGCTGACGGCCTCAGCACCTATTTCACAACCATTGTGTCCATCCGGCTGTACCAGGAGAACGAGAAGCGGCTGGCGGTGCTACGACTCCTCTGGGTGCTGACGGTGCTTAGCCTTAAACTGGTGTGCGAAGTACTGCTGTGTCAGAAGCTGGCGGAGCAGGAACAGGCAAGAGACCTGTGGTTTGGCCTCATAGTGTCCCCGCTTTTCATCCTGCTGCAACTGCTGATGATACGAGCGTGTCGTGTCAACTGAGGAGCAGTTGTTTTGTGGTCCTGGTTTCTGAGAACAGTTTCCAGTTGCCTGCTGACGTTCAAGCATTAAATCGCTGTATTCTTGTTTTGGGTTGAATGGCATCTTAAAGTTTGACAGTGTTGCTCTATATAGAAGTGGATGTAGTCTGATGGTTGAAAAACAACTTCCGTTTGAGGTCTCGAGGTTTTTGTTCTTTTTTTAAATGAACCTGTAGAACGTAAGAGACGTTAACCGAGGCTTCAGTTAGACAGCATTGGTTTTTGGATGACGAGATGTACAATCATTATGTGCACTGTATCCACCATTCCCTCAATGTAATTGACAAAAAAAAACATATTCTATTGACAGGTAAAGGCGATGGAAACTATTTGGTCATGAGAAAGTTTACTAACCCACGAAAATCAACTAACCTTTTCCACCTTTTAAACTGAAAGGCTGTGTCCATTTACTATTTATGGTTTATAATTTTTATAAGTTCAGCTTTTGCTGTCTGTGATCCACTGTGTCAGTTGCTCATTTAAACCCACTGTTGGCAATTCTTCATCCCGCTCTGAGCTGATTACAGCCTGGCTGTCTAAAACGTGTGTCAACCCAGGCTTCAGGGATTTCTTTGCCAGCATTTTGCTGTCCAATTGTGAAACATGGCTGTGCGTAAAGTTGGTAATGGGATGCATTCTTTTCTGATTCATATTCAATAATGAACCTCCTACTCAACTTTTACACTGTGTATTAGAAATGAAAACAAAAACGTCAGAGAATAATGGGAAAATGTTATTACGTTACTACAACAAATCTAAAATGATTTTTACTCATCCTTTGTACGGAACAGATGATGACTAAATACCGTTATAGGTTTGGACTGTGGCAATGCTGAAATAAAATATAAATATTTAAAAATGAGTGTATTTGGAAAATAAAGTTAAACTTCATGAATAACCATGTGAAATATTTAAGCAAGTACACCAGAGAATTTCTGTCTCTTTCCGATTGATGACCAATCGTAGAAACTGATAAGACATATTTAACATTTTTCGACTGACTGCCAGTGTTCTGTTGTTGGACTATAACATCTTATGTGACTCTGGGGGGTCTCAATAAATCATACGTCATACTCTTGAACTACCTATATCTGGTTCTGAAACTCCTCTGTTCTCAGTCTCCATCATAGACAACTGATCATGACTATTTTAGTTCACATATATATTCCCAGGTTCTGCTCCTTATTTGTATTTAGTGCATTTTGTTATTTCATGTAAATGTTGCACTTTTGTTTCGTTAATATATATATTATTTTTAAGTCTCAATAATTGTTCTGTGAAAAAGTGTATGTTTGTTTTACTTTGCTGTGTGAAACTTTATAGTCATCTGTACGTACATGTAAATAAACCAATGAAGATTTTATTACTCATGTCAACATTCTTTTAAAATAAACTGCTGCTGTAGTGTCGACCTACGCCACAAGAGGGCACTAATTCCTAATCAAAGTTATTTCAGTGTGCGACAGTTGCCTTACATGTTGATTGAGGCTTTTATGCCATTAAGGATTAGTAGTTTAACATCTATTTATTGGTTGGTTTTTTTAATTTGTGCAAAAACTTAGGAACAGACATGTCTAATTGAGAAATGTTTCATTGCTCTTCACGTCAGGGAAATAACTGCAACAATGAAATAATGAAATACAAACAACGTGCATTGGAGGTGGATGCTTTGTGTGATAAAGGGACTGGTCATTTTTAACAGTGGCTAAGGCGCAACATTTATCAAGAAAATAAAAAAAATCATACATGCTAATGAAATGACACAGACTTCAAATAAAAAAAACTTTTAGTCATGTAGATCCTCCGTTGAGGGCATCATACATATTATTTTTATTCTACGTGACGTTATGACTTTCTTTAAGCTTAATGTTTAGATGCATTTAAAAATCAGTCAAACTGACTCCAGTAGGTAGGGGAGACCGGGTATGGTTGTAACACTTTTTGCTTCAGCACCTGTAACTCACTGATTTTTTTTCCCACATTTGTTTACTACAAATGGCACCATTCATCCTCTGTTAATTTCTTCGTGCTGTGACCACTAAATGATATATCTCACCTTATCTCGTAATATCTTATATATATATATATATATATATATATATTAATGTATTGATTTCTTTTGCATCTCTATATCTATATTCCTTTGTGTCCATTTCAAACGTTTTTTTCTGATATGTAAATTATAAAAAAACAATGATGTTATACATATATAACAATGTTATATATTACTGACAGTTGATATGCAAAATTTCTAACCTAAAAGAAAGTGAAATAGAAAACCTGAATACATAGATACAAAAAGTTTTTCAATTTGCCTGGCACCTACGCTACTATTCAATTCTCCTCTGGTCTCCAGTGACTAACCCGTCATATGTTTCCCTCACGTGGAGTCGTCCATAATACAGGTCTGCTTCCTGAGTCAAATAGTCAGCCAACATTTCTTCTGCACCTCAGAGAAAACGTTGTTGCTGCTTCAGTAACCTACACTGGGAAGATCACTGGACCCCTGGTCTCTCTGCTTCTGCAGTGATGTGCAATATCAGATCCTTCAGGTCCTTCTTTGTGACCTCATCAGATGATTTTTTTTTTTTTTATAAACATTTGCAGGCACACCTCTGTCAGTCGTTCTTGTCCACTGCCTAGGCATTTTGTAAAATGTGTTAAAATTAAGAAATTGTTCTTAGTTGTATGTAAGGGGATGGTTGTAACACTTTTTAAAGATGTGTTACAACCCACACCACCCCTGTCACCCATTGTTTAGCTAGCTGTATTAGCTTAGCGGTTTGAAATTAGCAGGGGGAAAAATGCATCACATTTTGCCTGAGAAACTACAGTTTAATCGAATGTAAGTCATATGGTTTTATGTACAATAGTATAAGCACTAAACAAAATATAGTCTTGGTCAAAAAATTGACTTTCTTCCCTTAAAAATCTTTTTTTTCTCTCTCTATAGAATCTGCATGTGTCATGTAGGATCGGGGAGGAAGTAGGTAAACACTGAAATGATCATATAACTCCTATCTTATCCCTGATTGGTGGAATTGGTGGTGTTACAACTCTTCACCATGTTACAACCATACCCAGTCTCCCCTACCAGAAGAACAGATGAACTTTAATTCTCAATTTTAGCTTGGTTTTTTTTTTTAAAGGTGGAAAGAGCGGAATAATTTATTTACCCAGAGTGAGATGTGGAATCCCCCCCACCCCACCCCCTCTTTATGCTGTTCTTAATTATGGCTCAGTGATAAATGTTTAATCAGCTACAGTAATCCGTTGTACTGATAAGAATGGGCGTGTAAGTGCGATCATGTGCCGCAGGTTTGTGTTGGGACCATTATACACAGGTGGATTCATGTATAACGGCACACGTGCAATGAATATTGTCGAGTTTAAAGAAAAATCAAAGTAGAACATTTATATACATACAAATATAACACGAGAATAATAAAGACTTTTAATTAAGATGATAAAATATGACTTTAATTTAAAACAAAAGCAATAAGCAATGCGAGATAACTTATCGACGTGATACCTGAAATAATTACGGCATGAAAATTAAAAAGAGACAATCGATTCAAATACATAAATAAAAAAAACTGAACATGTTTGAGCTAACTTATAAACCACCACCACTCTCACCTACTGCCGCTCGACTCGCCTGATACTCACTTGATACTTTATCATATGCATTTTATGTTAATTTCTTCGTGCTGCGACCACTAAATGATATATCTCACCTTATCTCGTAATATCTTATATATATATATATATATATTAATGTATTGATTTCTTTTGCATTTCTATATTTATATTTCTTTGCATTTGCGTCTCTATATCTATATTCCTTTGTGTCCATTTCAAACGTTTTTTTCTGATATGTAAATTATAAAAAAAACAAGTAAATAAAACATATATTTCATTAGGTTTATTTCATTTGAAGGTAAAAGATCAAAAATAGAAAATGCAAACAAGACAAGGCAAACAGAATATTAAAAGCATTCGATTATTTAACGTTTCAATAAGAGAACCGTCCTAAAATGGCATCTAAAAAATTAAATTTACGAATGGTCTATGAACGCACCAATAGTGATTGACAGGCCGGCCGACAAAAAAAAAAAGTCGCTGTTCTGCAATTTTACAACACAAAAGGCGTGTCTAGGGTAACGTTAACCAATCCGTTTACGAATACGAAGCTCGTGCCGCCGTGGGGAGGCGGAGCTGCGTTTGGGGACAGTGGGAGGGAGATAGAGGGAGAGGAGAACGGCGAGAGGAGGAAACGGAGGCAGAGAAACAGACGTGACTGCACCGTAGGGATGTGCGTGAGTGTGCGGTGAACGTTACTGCAGAGTTGGATTACCGTGTTTTTTTAAATAAAACACCGTGGCAAGACCCCTAAGAGTCAGCTCCGAACGTTTACCCACACTGCGCGATGTCCGGCGGAGGAGACGTCCGTGTCCTCCGCCAAGAGGCTGGGCAAGAGAGCCCGAGGATGCCGGCCTGGAAGCGAGAGATCCTGGAGAGGAGGAAGGCGAAGGGCGGAGGAGTCGTTGCCTCCTCCGAGACGAGTCCCAGTGGAGGCGCCGGTGCCCAGCGCCTTAACGGGGAGACCAGTGAGACTGTGAACGGCAGCGGCGGTGGTACAGTAAACAGCGGGGGCGGGCGGAACTACACTATCACCCCGGCCAGCCAGCACTACAGCCACAACAAAGAGACACGACCGGCGGGCGCGCGGGGGGCGGCACCCCGGGGG